AGGTCCTTGTGTAATAGAGTGTCATAGAAATGTTTCAGTTGCAGGTATCTGAGTAGTGAGAGAGGAGTTTGTGGTCCCTCTCCCAGTAATGAGGTTAAATCTCGCAGTTTCCCATCCGCCAGGGCCTTATATATGGGAATATATGTTCCGGTACTTGGGATGGGCCACGCACCGGAGGGGAGTCCACCCCCTATGGCCTCGTTATGCGTGATCGGCATCATCGGGCTGGGCGTGGGTGATATATGTGTCTGTAGCCTGAGTACCTTCCAAGTGTGTAGGGTCTGTAGGACCAGCCCCTCATCGTCGCTATGGTTTGTTCGACCTCCAGTTTTACCCCAGACCTGTGCCTCAAGTGTTGGTCCGATGAGATCCCTGTCGAGTTTCACCCATTGTTTGGCCGTCGGTTCCAGGTGCCAGTCTAGTATACGTTGCATGACCGTGGCTTGGTGATATTTCTGAAAGTCCGGCACCGCCAGCCAGCGTAATTTTTTGGACGGCACAGTATGTCATGCCGGATCCTTGCTCATTACCCATGCCACACATATCTGCTTACTGCCGTTTTCAGGGCGGAAAAAAAGGTCGCTGGTATAGCGAGTGGTATGGTCTGCATTAGATACAGAATCCGCGGGAGGATATTCATCTTAATCACAGCGATTCTTCCGTGCCAGGTCACATGTGGGTACGACCATTTGTATAAGTCTGCGAGAACAGACTTCAATAGGGGTGTAAAATTATGTCGCAATATATCTCTTGGGTTCGTGGTCACCCATACGCCTAGGTATTTCATCCTGCCGTGGCACCAGTGGAACGCAAATTGTGATTCCAATGATAGGAATTCCTCTGTGGGAAGTGTGATGTTCAGGACCTCGCATTTTGAGATGTTAAGTTTAAATCCAGATATCCGTCCAAATTTATCAAATTCCGAGAGGAGGCATGGCAATGTGGTCCTGGTGTTGCGAACGAAGAAGAGGAGGTCATCTATGTAAGCAGCCACTTTATGTTGTTCTCCTTGGTCTTCGTATCCCTGTCTGGGTACAGCCGAATTGCCTACAGCAATGGCTCTAGGGTCATTGCGAAAAGCAACGGCGAGAGGGGGCAACCCTGTCGGGTGCCATTGCTAATTGCAAAATCAGCAGTCGTGGCCCCGTTGACCCTCACGGTTGGACGTGGGCTATTATACAGGGTGGATATCCATTTGAGGAGTCTTTGACCGCATCCTAGGTGTTTCAATGTTGACATCATATATGCCCAGTTGACCCGGTCAAATGCCTTTTCCGCGTCAGTGGATAGCAATAGTAACTGGGTACCTGATTTCCTCGCATGGTGTTGGATGGAGAAGAGTCGCAGGGTGCTGTCCCTGGCCTCTCGACCTGGGATGAATCCCGTCTGGTCCACATGAATCAATTCGGGGAGAAGGTGATTAAGTCTGGTTGCTAGGACTTTCGTAAATAATTTAGCATCGACGTTCAGCAGCGAGATCGGCCTGTAGCTCCCGCACTGCAACGGATCTTTCCCCGGCTTAAGTAGGACCGTAATGGTGGCTGCTAGTGATTCTGGTCCCAGAGTTCCGTCCTCCCCCACGACGTTGAGGGCCTTGGCCAGCCATGGCAGCAAGGTTCTTGAGAAGTTTTTATAGTATCCAGCGGAAAAGCCATCTGGGCCGGGCGCCTTGCCAGTTTTTGCTGCTTTAAGGGCCACTGCTAGCTCGTCTGTACTGATGGGTGTGTCCAAGTTTGAGGCGGAGTCTAGATCGATTTTGCGTGTGACTGTGTCGGACAGATAGTTCTGTATCCTAGTATGGACGTCCGTGGTCCCAGTGTTCCCGGCTTGTGTGTGGAGATTGTAGAGATTCTCGTAGAAAACCCTAAACTCCTCCGCGATCTTCTGCGGAAAGGAGGTCACCTCCCCTGAGGCCAGATGTAATTTACGTATTTGTTTGCGGGGTGCGGGGCCTTTCAACAATCTCGCTAGGTATTTACCCCCCTTGTTATGATCTGCCAACTTAATACCATTATTTTAGTGTCAAAATTGATAAAGGAGATTGTCTATAGTTGAAGGTTCCAAAGTGTCTTGAAAGACTTTAAACTTTTTTAGGGACTCCATAAGTAGAAAAGGAGTGGCTCGAAGTGTGATAATAAATGGATTGATTATAATGTTGTAAAGAAGAATGACTGGCATCCAGGGAGGTCTTCCCAGAGGTGTATTTGACCGCTGCAACTGGTTAAGAGGTTTGTTAGCCAAGACTATGTCCCCCAAACCATCACTTTTATAAAGGTAAAGCGGTGAGACCATGACATTTGATGATTATATTGTTCCAAAGGAGACCTTTAACATAGAATGGGACGGCAGATAAGAACCATTTGGCCCATCTAGCCTGCCCAATATTTCAAAATACTTAAGTCTTAAGTCTAGGATAGCCTTATGCCTATCCCACGCATGCTTAAACTCTCTCATTGTGTTAACCTCTACCACTTCAGCTGGAAGGCTATTCCATGCATCCACTACCCTCTCAGTAAAGTAATACTTCCTGAAATAATTTTTTAAGCTGAAATCTCTTATGCTAAAATCTAATGGTTCTCAACTTGTCCAAGGACCTAGGGATTAAGTCAGTTTGATACCTGGATTCTGCATTTTAGAGAGATTTCTGAAAATCAATTATAGCTCAGGATTTAACTTTCTTTTTCTGAGCAGCAATTTTTTTTATCAGATGACTCTTGACTACCACTTTATGAGCAGACCAGACAATGCACCCAGTAACATCAGGGGCATCAATATTGGTAAAATAGATCTGTCTAGCTTAACTAGCATCATCCACTACCTCTTGGTCCTTCAATAATGCTGTATTAAGACACAAGAACCAGACAGCAGAGGACAATAATACCTAAAATAAATATGTCCATATGATTCCTCCAGGATATACAGTGCCTTGCAAAAGTATTCACTCCCCTTGGCATTTTCCGTGTTTTGTTGCCTCACAACCTGGAATTAACATGGATTGTTTGCGGATTTGCATCATTTAATTTACAGAACATGCCTACAACTCTGAAGATTATTATTTTTTTTTATTGTGAAGCAAACAACAAATAGGACAAAATAACAGAAATGGTCAATGTGCATAACTATTCACCCCCCTAAAGTCAATACTTTGTAGAGCCTTTGCAGCAACCACAGCTCCAAGTCGCTTTGGATAAGTCTCTATGAGCTTGCCACATCTTACCACTGGGATTTTAGTCGCATCAGACCAGAGCACTTTCCTCCATACATTTTGGAAGTCTCCCTCGTGCCTTTTTGCAAACTCAAAACGTGCCATTTTGTTTTTTTGCTGTAAGTAATGGCTTTCTATTGGCCACTCTGCCATAAAGCCCAACTCTATGGAGCATATGGCTTATTGTCGTCCTATGTACAGCTACTCCAGTCTCTGCTGTGGAACTCTGCAGCTCCTCCAGGGTTACCTTAGGTCTTTGTGCTGCCTCTCTGATTAATGCCCTCCTTGCCCGGTCCGTGAGTTTTGGTGGGTGGCCGTCTTTTTGGCAGGTTTGCTGTTGTGCCATGTTCTTTCCATTTGGTTATGATAGATTTGATGGTGCTCCTGGGGATCATCAAAGACTTGGATAATTTTTTATAACCCAACCCTGACTTGTACTTCTCAACAACATTGTCCTTTACTTGTTTGGAGAGTTCCTTGGTCTTCATGGCAGTGTTTGGTTAGTGGTGCCTCTTGCTTAGGTGCAGGGCCGGTGCAAGGAATTTTGTCTACACAGGCGAAGGAGCATTTTGCCGCCCCTCCCCACCCCACATTTTTCTTGCAGTTTCTAAAATGTTTTAGAGGTGTGACAAAACACTAGATTGTAAAGATATTTAGATAGATACACACATGCACACTTTTTTTTTTTAAGAGATAAAGCCATTTGACACTAGAGATGTCCTTAGAAGCAAATGTAAACTCTGCCTTTTCTTATGAAAGGCAATATTTACATCTGTCAGACTCCAGGGACAAGCTCTTTTCACCAAAACCACTCCATTACATTATAGTTATGTTATATATTTAACATGTGTTTTTTTTTTTTGTTTTTTTGTTTTTTTGAGAAAAATAAGAACAAATTTGTGTTTTTGTAAAGTGTATTTTATTAACATTTATTCAACAAAACAAAACCAAAAATAAATAACAATGCATTCAAGTGCATGTAAACTGCAGTAACTATTACTCAAACTGCATGACATAGTGCAATTAGTATCGAGGTGCTTTAAAATTAACATATATAATTACTATAAAAACTTTTATATAATGAATAAAACTGTACACTGTAGGTTTCTGCAAGTGCAAATTCACCTAAAGTGTAAAGTGCTTTAACAGATATTGCACACAAACAAAGTGAGAATGGTAGCCTACAAAAACGTAACCCTTCTTGCTTTCGCATTTACAAAATCATGAAGCAAAGTTTTAAAGTCAATCTCTTTTGCAATCTGATTTTCAATGGAAATCATTGCAAGTCCCACCAATCTCTCTTGAGACATAGAGGACCGAAGATAATTCTTTATTAACTTCAGCTTTGAAAAGCTTCGCTCCCCAGAGGCTACAGATATCGGCAATGTCAACAATATGCTAAGGGCAATAGACACATTGGGAGCAAAGCCATTTTTAAGTGCATACACTAGAATTTGACTGGGTGTCATTGTAGGCCTCAAGATAGGAGCCAATATTGTAAGTTCCTCACAAAGTTGTGCTCCATCCAGATCAGCATCTCCTGATTTATCATCAGTCAAAATATTCTGCAAGTCTATACACTACTCCATAACTGCTTCCCTTGGTACATCTTTAAGTTTTTGTATATTATAAAGAAACTGGAAGTGCTTGCTGTGGTGGTTAATTTGCTCAAATCTCTCATCAAGAAAATTGATACACATATCCAAAATGCTGTAAAAGCACTCAATTTTAAAAAAATTTGCAGGATCACAAATCGGATCATCCGGTGCTTCATAACAAAACAACCTCTTTTTTTTTAAATTTGTCGCACAAAAGGAGGAAACACAGGATCTATTTCCATTTCTAATGATAGGTTTTTTGCCTCTAAATCTTCAACCCCTTTATCAGAACGATAATTCTCCAAAAAAGTGGTTGTGGATTTCAGGATATCTACAACATCTGGAAGATACATACTTCTACTTTGTTTGCTAACAAAGTTTATTCTATTTAAGATGTTGTACCACAACACAATAAGACACAAAAATGTAAAGTTATTCAGTTCTTTTGAAAGACATTCAGCATCAGACTGTGCCATTGCCGTGTGAGAGTTCTCTCTCAAAATTTCAGAGAGTGAATCAAAAATTTCTCCAACCTGGAACCTAAATGGACGAATAGCATCTATTCTTGAAGGCCATCTGGTGTCAGACAAAGGTTTTAGCGTAAGTCTGCCAATGTGCTTCTTCAAGACATTCCACCGAACTGTGGATCCTGACAAAAACACATAGATTTTCTGTACAATAGAAAAGAAGGATGCAGCATCCCAGCATGACATGGCTGCATCATTCACAACAAGATTTAATGTATGAGCGCTGCAGGGAATATAAAAGGCACGCGGGTTTAAATCCAGGATTCTTTTCTGAACACTTTGGTGTTTGCCCTTCAAATTGGATCCATTATCGTATCCTTGTCCTCTCATATCACCAACTGGGATCTTAAGTTTTTCAAGTTCAGACAAAATTGCCTCAGTTAAACCTTCTCCAGTTGAACTTAGGATTTGGATGAAACCTAGAAATTTTTCATCTATACAGAGCTCTGGTTCAGCAGTTGGAGACTCGCCTTCCTTGATGGACACAAATCGAACAATTATAGTCATTTGTTCAATTAAAGTAATGTCTGGTGTGCAATCAAGTATTATAGAATAATACTTTGCATTTTTCAACAACTGCAGAATGTGTTTTGTGATTTCTTTCGCTATAAGGCTGATGAGTTTGTTTTGAATGTCTTTCCCCAAATAATGTTGGAAAATTTCCTTATTTTTTATTCTTTTCAGATGTTCCTGCATAACGGTGTTGAATGTGGCCAGCATTTCCACAAGTTGCAGATAATTCCCATTATTTTCACTGTATAATGTATCTCTGCTACCTCGGAAAGCCAAGCACTGGCGACCAAGATATTTTACTATGCCTATAAGGCGCTTAACAACATCTTGCCAATGTTGTGTTTCAGTTGCCAACAATCTCTGGGAAGCTACATCTATCGTTTTTCCACGACCAAATCTTCTCGAGAGTTCATTCCAGTCTCTTACAGCGACAAGAGAGTTAGACTTTTCATGAATGGAAAGATTTTGAGATAAGTTTTTCCAGTCATTATAACCTCCACGTGTCAAACTTGTAGTGACTTTAGTTGCAAATAGCTTACAACAAAAGTGAAACGTCTATTCGCTGCATCTTTGGGGAAACTGAACACACACACCTATTTTGTCATACACTCACAAATTATTATTTATTTTTTGATTTAAGCACACCCAGCCTCCCTACCTTTGGGAGAGCTGGAGTGGATTATTTCACTAGGATGTGGTGTGGCTACTCTCTATTCTCCCTGCCCTTTCTTGCTCTGCTCCACTGCGTGCTGTTTAGTGATGCTGGGGCCGGAGTGACGTCATATTCCAGATGCATGCATCACTAACCAGCATGGGAAGAAACAGAGCAAGAACTGCAGGAAGATTACTGCTCCATGCTCCCTCGGCCAGCCGCATCTGGTGAATGGGCTAACAAACACCCAGGCGCCAGGACAAAATTCCTAGTCTAGTTCTAGGATTTGTCGAGCCCTGCACTAAGTGATGTACTATTTCCTGACATGTTTTGTGAGATAAGGTAAGTAAATAAAGGGTTTTAACCCTTTATTTAAAGCGGGGGAGGGGGAGGCAGAGGGATCAGTAGTGCCAGGAATACAGCTTTGTATTCCTGGTACTACAGTATCTCTTTAAGCAGATACAGTGATTACAATGCAAAATCCTTAAACATTTACAAAAATAAATACATTTAAAAAAAACTACAATTACAGACATAAATATACTAAATTAAGCCTTGCGCTCAAATTCTCACTTCTCCTGGGCAGTATCAATGACCATAGTACACATCAGCCCCAATACAGACAATAAATCACTAATCTAATTTTAACAGGCAGATGAGCTACAATACTCATCCTAAAAAACCTCCAGTTATTTAAATGTACATAAGGATTTGGAATTGTACGCAATTAGCTTTTTTTTATTATAAATTACACACACACATTTACTGCAATTTTCACAGTGGAATTAATATCTTAGCTGTGTATAAAGTACATAAACATTAAACAACCTACCCACCCTGAGAATACAGCGAACAGAGTGGCAAAGGATTAGGGATAAGCTATTACGGTGAAAGACTGACACAGGTTGGGGACAGAGTAACTAGCGGGACAGGGTATTAGTGGCATAGAGGCTAAGAGAGGCATGGGATTACTGCCCTTTGCATGTAGTGCTGCAATGTAGAACATTGCAGTTCCAGAGAACTGCAATGTTTACATTGCAGCACTAAGTCTGCCCTCAGTAGCTGTCTACCAGAAAGCCACTGGGGGCGCTTGCAGAATCGAAACAGACTTTTGGTCTGTTATCTGATGCTGGACGTCCTCACGCCCTGTATGAGGACCTCCAGTGACAGATTTTTCCCCATAGGAAACCATTGATTCAATGATTACCTATGGGGAGGTCTAATGCGCACTCGACATTTGCTGCGCATACGCATTAGACCCTGCTAGGCACAATGCTGAGATAAGGTAAGTAAATAAAGGGTTTTAACCCTTTATTTAAAGCGGGGGAGGGGGAGGCAGAGGGATCAGTAGTGCCAGGAATACAGCTTTGTATTCCTGGTACTACAGTATCTCTTTAAGCAGATACAGTGAAGCAAGACTAAACAATTAGGGACCAAGTGAAATGGGGCTTGTGGGACACAGTGACAAAGGAGTGAGAAATGGGATGCAGAGGGACATATGATAAAAGGGGATTTGGGGACAAAGTGCCAAGGAGTAGGAGCCTGTAACCCCATGTCACTCTGACCCCTTAGTGCCCTGACAGGGGGTACAGAGTACAATTCAAAAATTAAATATACATTTTTTTAAACTTACCCCCATTCAAGTGCTGACAGCCAGGTCTATAGTGAGGTGGATCTGAGGAGACTGCAGACACTCGAACACTATGGGGAGCAGTCTAGCAGAGGCCACAGTCACTGTTCTCCTTCCAGGTAAGTCTGCTGTCTCTGTCTGGACAATATGGAGCCTGGAGGCAGGGGGGAGGGGGCGGGCAGCGGAAGTCTGGCCCCCTACTCACTCTAGCATATTGCACTCTGTCGCCATACTGGAGCCCGCCTGGGCCTGTCTGCCTCCCTTCCCTCCCTGTCTTCCTCCCCTCCCCTTACCTCATTGTCACTCACTCCCTCTCTGCATACTCTGCATACACTTGTGCCGGGCGGGCTCCACTGCATGGGCGCCGCCATATTGGAGCCAGCAGGGGGAGTCCGTCCCTGCCAGCATCGGACCGCAAGGGGATTCTGGGGGAGGTGAAATTTGCGCCCCTCCTGACATCATCAGGAGGGGGCGGCAAGCACAGACTTAACCTCCGGACCGTCTGTAAAGGAGAGAGCCAGCCAGGAGAGCAAGGCAAGGGCAAGGTAGGCTGCGGCTGTATAAAAATCTGAATCCTTAGCCGGTGGCTGGGGATTTGGATTTTTGCGCCCCCCCCCCCTGTTCTGGTGCCCTAAGGCGGCCACCTTATGGACACGCCGGCCATGCTTAGGTGTTGCAGCCTCTGGGGCCTTTCAAAAAAGGTCTGTGTATGTAATGACAGATCATGTGACACAGGTGAAAATCATTTCACTAATTATGTGACTTCTGAAGGTAATTGGTTGCACCAGAGCTTTTTATGGGCTTCATAACAAAGGGGGTGAATACATATGCACATGCCAATTTTCTGTTTTCTATTTCTAAAAAATATTTTTATATATATATATTATTCTCATTTCACTTTACCAACTTAGACTATTGTGTTCTGATCCATCAAATAAAATTCAGATTACTAAAACATTGAACTTAAGGCTGTAATGTAACAAAACATGTAAAAAGTCAAGGGAGTGAATAATTTTGCAAGGCACTGTATTATCGATCTCTGAACCAGATATCAAAGGTAGAAAAAAAAAATTCAATATGAGGAAAGGTCCCATGAGGAGTAAAAAAAAATAAAAAGTAGTCTGTCAAATCTAGATGCTGTACTCTCCAGATATCAATAAGACCATGAGAGTCCAAAACTCCCCTCAGGACCTATCCTGGTCCCCTGCACTATGAGACATAATACCCGGAACTAAGCTTTTTTCAGCTGCCGGACACAAGACCACATTGCCGTCTCTTCCTAGAACGAGATTTCATTTATAAAACCCAAACCAGCCATGTAGATATCTCGAATGGTTAGTCTGATGACATTGGAGCCTGTTGAAGTTTTACAGGATTATTCACTAAAGTGAGAATTCAAAGTGAATTGCAAATGTAAGGTCAAACCAAACCAGTAACATTTTCTAAATCTGCTTTGCTTTCAGTTTGGTTACTCTGGCCTTAAATTTTAAACTCACTTTGAATTTACACTAAATTCTCACTTGAGTAAATAACCATGTCAGTTTGATTGCCAGTAGTATCCTTTCGTCTTCTGTGATCGTTAAAATGAGTGCTCACAACAGCGTTTTTTCTTGGGGAAGGTGGCTCTCGTATATTGAGATATTTTTGTCAACCATATTAATTTCCTAGCAATATATGTAAATAAATATAAACATGATCTTGTGCATTCTATGTATCTCTCAAATTATCTATAACGTGCTGTTGAACCTGCTCTGTCAGTGTTCTGAGAGGCTTTCTCCACTGTCGCTGTCCAGCATGTGAAGACTTTTCGCATTTCTTGTGACATTTTATATAGTAATGTTACAAAAGGCCTGTCTCTGCAGAGTCCGAGGTGAAATCTTCAAGCTCTGCAGCTCTTTTCAGTGCCTAGCTCTGTCTCGTTCTCCTCGTCTCAGGGGAAATCAATGCTCGCATTAGCCAAAGAAATCGTCCCTTTGGACGAGACACGGAATGACTTTTCAGGAACAGCAACATATTTAGTAAAGATAACGGGACATTCACGCTCACTCACTAAATAATGATTTAGCGAATATATTAATTCAGAGGTCCAAAGAGCAAATGAACCATGAGAAAGCCTATCAATTTCCGTCACAATAGTGAATCTTTTTTTTTTAAACTAAGATTGATAGCAAAGCAGCAATTTGAATCGGTATGAGGTGAAATGATGACCCATTAAGATGTTAAGATAGATCCTGATTTTTATTAAAATCATTTGTGGTTAATCGACCACTCTTACTTATACGCTACTCAATCCTGCTCTGTACAGATATTAATGTCCAGACCCACTGTTACATTGTTTCAGATTTGTTAAGTAGGAGCAACACATGTTAAAACTTGTCAATTTTTAGGTTAATCATTATTGATTTTCTCTCTTGTAACCTGTCACTCTCAAAAAGTCTGCCCCCCCAAATCTTAAAAATATAGCTCCTTCCAACACAAGAAGGCATATCAAACCATAATGAAATGTAAGAAAAAGTGATATAAAACATTAAATTAGTCTTTATATAACTGAAGTGCATATGTAATTTAAATAAATTCATATAGCAGAAATAAACCTCAGAGGTTACATAGATCTGTCTCAGGTAGAGCACAACATTTGTCTAATACATTGTAGACATCTCTGATAACCCATATCGTATAAGAACTAGTTTCAAGTGATACATGTTGCTGTGGTTACCTATATCCTGTTTTAACTATAATTATATCCTTGCATATTCTGTTTATTCAATAATTAAAGCCTTTAAAAATGACCTATAGAATCTGATAAGACAACCTATTTAGGCAGAGAATTCTACATATTTATTGTTCTTACTGTAAATAAACATTTCTTCTGCTGTATGTGAAAACACTTATTTTCAATCTCAATGACCTCTTGCATGTTGTATA